TTTCGTCATTCAAATTCGATGGCTCTATGTACCATTGTTTTATCACAATGCGAGAAATAGACAATCATTTTGCAGATTTTTCATTATTTAATTTCTTCAAATATAATGCAGGACTCTAACATTTTGCGGCAACAATTTGAAAAGTGAACCGACGTTTATGAGTCCGACGCAAAATCGCAAAACGAAAACAATAGTCCTTCAGGGACAAAGCCCCTTTGGACTAAAAAAGGATCTACTCTGAAGACCAAACGTTTTTTTTTTTGCTATATTCATATTTTGGTATTTATTTGAGATATAATAACTCTTACAGAAATGTTTATAATACGTTAGTCAACTTTAAACTGCTACAGTTTTATTCTTCGTCTGTAAGTAACAGTTCAATAAATTAAAAAATTAAATGCAAGCAGAAAGAGACTTCCTATATACTGAATGAAGACCGGGAAAAACTTATCAGTTCTCTCTTCGTAGAAAGAAGCTCTGTCCTTGGAAGATATAGTTTGAAATAAGAAAGTAATTGAGAAACAGTTTCTTCCTCTTTTCTTATTACGAGCCTTGCATAATAAATTTACGGAGTTTACGTTTTTCACTTTCTTCCCTGCTATCTAACGAGGAACACTATTTATTCACTTCTTCAGATTGCATGATTTATATTTCTGAAAGAATTGGAAATGACGGAGAGGCTTGTGTCTACTTTTCAAAGTAGCGGCTGAGCGGTAATATTGCTGAACACCGACCTGGTTCCTTAGAATACCCTCCACGAAAGCATCCCTTCCCTTAGGCAGATAGCCTTAGTGTGCCTTGCAATAATCAATGAAAAAAACCAAACCAAAACTTATTTTCAAAGAGAACTGCGATTCTTCAACTTCAGAAATTTCTTTATGAAAAAGTTCAATATTTTGCACGTTTAATAAAGCGTGTTGGCCCATCCCGACCGAGTGGTAAAGTCTCTAAACACTGGTAGTTCGGTACGAAGATCGAATCCCGCGAACGGTCCGGCTGCATGGGCGTTTTCGTGGTTTTGTGCAATGTGTTAATACGAGCCAGTTGTCTTAGAAAGTCCTCCACGAAGGCATCCCTCCCTTCCATGTGGTGCCTTAGGGCAGAACACGCAAGTAAAATAATAACAAAGCGTGTAATAATGATGGATAATAAAAACATCAAATATGTAGTAATATTTGAAAATGACCACATAAGTTATTTTAATTTTTAGTTTATTGCCAGAAGTTATGTTGCTGTTTTTATACAACGTCTGAGATGCTGCATTAGCGACTTTCATCGTTTTGCAATTCATTTGCTCTCTAAGCCGACCAGCGGCCGAGCGCTGAACACTGGTAGTTCGGCTCGGGATTTGAGTCCCAGAAACGGGCTGGCTGCATGGGTGTTGTTGTGTTTTTCCCCTTGTAAACTTGTATATGAGCCAGTTCTCCTTAGAAAGTCCTCCACGAAGGCATCCCTCCCCTTCGGTAAATACACTTAGAGGGTTTTGCCATAATTGAATAAAGCAAACCAACCATTTGCCCGCTATCTTTTAGAGCAAGGAAGGCTTCTTAAACTTTCTTCAGTCGCTACCCGTTTTTAACACTGAGATTTTTTTTCCGACCGCAGGACACTAATATTTACAAAACTTTTGTGGGACCCATTGATTATTGCGCAAATCCGACACACGCGTGAGTGAAACTGTCAATTTTTTCACTTGTACTGTAATATACTGTTGCAGTTTTAGGTCATTAACTCTTATTTCTAATTTTAAGACATAGAATAATGTGAAAATTTTAAATAAGTAACAGACGAAATGACAGTGTTACGTGCAAAGCAAGTAAACCGAACGTTTATATTATAAAAAGAATGCGACGAAACATTTTCGTTTTTTCTTTGTCTGTATTGCCTTATCTTTATCTATGTTCAGATACATTGTGTAAAAATATTTGGTAATTATAAAATTATTATAATATAATAAGTTAAAAAATATCAAACTGCTAAAAATTTTGGCGACCACCTGCTGCAGTTCCCACGCCCCCACATGGGGGTTCTATTTTAGAGCATGAGTGGAGACCGTAATACAAAAATGAAGTAACAAACGCTAAAAGCTGCAAAAATTTCTCAAAAATAAAGCAAAAACTAAAACTATTGCACTGGTAATTTGTACAGTTTTGTTTTATGTAAATAAATTACGACAAATAAATTATGCCGACTAATTTGTGACACAATCATGCTGAGAAAGGTCTGGTTTATTTGATTAGGGCAAAGCACACGAGAATTATCTGTCTAAGGGAAGGAATGCCTTTCTTGGAGGACTTTCTGAAGGAAACTGACTCGCATGAGCGTTAGACACAGGAAAAACCACAATTGTTTTCTACCAATTTACTTGCTCGTTGAACACAGCAAAATGCAAAGCGCGTGTAAAAGGCGAAGCTCGCACAGAAATCTCTCTGTACTCCGAACTCAACTCTAAATTAAACAAGTGAGGAGTAATGCTCTGTTCGATCTTATAATGTTTTCTGAGAAATTTCCTGTACTTTCGAGTTCTCGGAATCGCTGAAAGGCATTACAGTCTCATACACGGCCGGATACAGTTGCAGTTATGTAGAAAATAGATAAACTGCAGCTGTACAAGAATCGGACCAAATATAGCGCCAAGTTTTGCGACCAAGTTTGGTGACGTCAGAAGTCGCCTTGGCGACTTTTGGTGATTTCTAGCCAAATTTATGGACAAATATTAGTCGCCAAAGCCCTCGCCAGCTAGGAGCTACCTCAGTGTCAAATGGGGCTGCCCCTATAATCTTATTTTTCCGGCGGAGCATTGCTCTCTTGTTGCATTTCACATTACGTTATAAGAGATGCTACAATTTACATGTAATGTCATTTGAATTATTTACCTATGCACAAAATTTGTAACAGTGTTTTCTAGAACTTCCTCTGCTTGGGTCCTAAGAGAATAGACTTATGTTATCGATATATTATATTCACATAGTTAATTAATAACTAATTAATTTTACTAATTTGCAGTTGTTAGTTATCTGCATTTTGAGAAAGATTGTGAAATTCCAGAATCGGATTGACACAATCTCTGCTGTGTATATGGAAGTTTATAATCTTCCATATGCAATTCTTTTAATTTCAGTGTCATTTCTACTGCCATTTTGAAATTGAATACTTTTTCTTTTTAATATTGAATATGATATGTCATTTTTCATTTATTACTTTTTATAATTTTAAACGGATTGTAAAATCTTTATTAAATACTTAACACTACGAAACAGTGCAATTTTAACTCATTTAACTGAATATATGTATATATCAGTAATTAGATTATAAACCCACACAATCAAAAAATGCAAATCGGTTTTAAAAAATGTTTCGATATTATTTTTAATTTAAAGGGAGTAATTTCCCCAGAAGGGTTCCCGCCGGTTTTGGCATTTTGCATTGGTTCACGATAAACGGCGTTTTCTTTTTAAATTGTTGCCATCAAATATTAGAGCCCTAGACTAGAAGAGAAACATGCTAATGTGACAATCAAAATCGTAAAAACAACGTTGTATCTAGCGTAGGTATAATGAAACCCTCAGTCAATTAATCTAGTTATAACCACGTGCAGTGCTGATAAGGACCACGTGTTTCTGTGACTCCTTCTCCTTTATTTTCTTCTTTCTAGGTATTTCTTTCTCCTGATGAGGAGGGACCTTTAGCTGCCCTCGAAATCGATTGAGTGTTTCATTATACCTACGCTAAATACAAGGTTGTTTTTACGATTTTGATTATTAGAGCCCTGTATTATATTTAAAGAAATTAAAGAATGAAGAATCTGCATGAGTGTAGGTATGTTTCTCGCATTGTGAAAAAACAACGGTACCTAGAGCCATCCAATTTGAATAACGTAATCGTTCACCGAATATGCGCATCTGGGAATCATAATTTAGAATTTGTTTTTTATCGATTTCATATTTTGCAACACTTTATCGAAGCTTTGATTAACAAAATCAATGATTTCAAAGCGAGCATTGGCAAGAATGTACCAGAAAAAAAAATCATTTTTATCTCCAGATCGCGAGACTGTGTATCGGAAATTCTAAACATATGCTCTTTTTTAATTATTTTTGGGATATTGCTGTTGAATTGAGTTTTATGGTTTAAATGCGAAGAACATGATACTTAATAAATAGAGGTAAAACACAAAAAGTTAAAGAAACTCCCCTTTGGGTGTAATATAAAATCTGAAAGCCTTCAGATTTTTTTTTTATCGAAATATCTTATTATCGGAAAACCAACCTAAAGAATAATTTATCCGGAATAAAACAAATAAAATGAAGTGAAAAAAGGTCGATAATAATGGAATATAATGGAGAGGAACAGGTATTTGTACTTCAGAACTGATATAATTTTGCTCCAGATGCTGATTAAGAATGTAAACTTCATAAAATTCTCTTCCGCATAAAATGCAGCATCATTTTTCATACAAAATAGAAGTCATGAATTTCATAATCGCTGCGCTTTTCATCTAGTATGTCATTTGCACCTGCTTAACAAACAGCAGACCGCTCTGGGAAGAATTTTAATAAAAAAAGTGTAACAGACACAAAATGTAGGGTAAAACGCGAACTTTTCTAAGAAAGAAAGATTGCTTTGGCAAAAACTTTCTATTTTCGTCACCAAAACCTCAAAATATTCCAGATAAATTCCTAAGCAGCTGAATATCTGAATAATTGCAAGACAAAAGAACTCCTTCATTTACGCTTTTTAATAAACTCCATGAATTTGAACTGTGAATTGCCATTTGCTATTAAAGCCATATCGTAGTGGCACTCATATATTTCACCGATAGAAAGAATTTCTAATATTGTGACATCATCATAAGACGATTGTGACGTCTCATCTCTAGGCACTTCTCCATTCGCCGAAACGTGCGGAGCCGAAAAAGAAAGAGATTAAGAAGGGAGAATCCGCAAAATTTGGGGTTTCCCCCAACAGCGCGTATGGAGGGTCGTCACCCCAACCGGACAGCTTTTCCGCATGACGTCACTTCATCAACAAGCCGCGTATAAAAGGTCGGTTATCAGTGTTAGCTAAACTTCGTTCTGGAAATGATTCTTCAGTTGATGATCGCGTGTTGGTTTGGGTTTGGGGTTACCAGCACCGCCCCCCTTAATTCTAAGGGCCCTTTCGCCCCTTCCCCACCAGGCGTCAGACCACCTTGCGCAGCAAAAAGCGCAACCTTCTGTGAAGAGGTAGAAAAATATCCCGCGTAAGTATCTCCGAATTCATTTATATTCTGTAATTGTTGTGCCGATTTAATCATTTAATGATGCCGGCGGTTGTTTTGAAAAACATAATGCGCTTCTTTGCATGCATAATTGACTTCCCTTACGTTCAGGTTATCCTGATGGATAATGTTTTACCATATAATACTGCTTTTATTTAACTTAGAAACTGTGGGATTTTTTCTTCCTCCCCCCTCTAATTTTCTTTTTTTGGAAAAGTTTACTGAATTTTCTTTTAAGAAAAATGATTTTTTAATTTTTTGTAAGGTATAAAAAATTGTTTGTTTTATTTTATTTGAAAACAAGACATCTTGAATTTCATTTTGAATTATTTTGTTAATTATTTTATATATTTTGCAATTTGTTAATACATTATATATATTTTAGTTTTTAAATATATTATATATATTTTAGTTTGTAAATATATTATATTTATTTTAAATTTAACAAATTTAAACCTAATTTTTGTTTTAATAATTGTTAAAAATTAAGTTTAAATTTGTTTAAATTTAAATTTCATTCCTTGCAGCAATGGCGCAAAGACTATTTAATTAAATTTGTATTTAAATTTAATTTTTTAATTAAATTCAATTTATTCTTATGAAACAATTATATTTATTTTATATATTTTTAGTCCAAAAGGCCAATTTATCCTGAAGGACTTAATTTCGTTTTGGTATTTTGCGTTGAAAACTTTATAAGGCTATGTATCACTTTTCAAATCGTTGCCACTCGATATTATCGCCCTACAAATGTATGTATGTTTCTCGCATTGTGATAAAACAACGGTACCTACAGCCATCAAATTTTGAATAACATACCTCTCCATCCGAATATGGGAACTTGGAAGCCCGAATTTTGAATTTCAGACTTGTTTTATGATCCATTTCATATTTTGTAAAACTCTTAATTTTTGATTAACAAACTCAGGGATTTCAAAAGGGAACAGTACAAAAAAAAAAAAAAAAAATGTCTCCAAGACTCAAGATTGTCTATCGGAATGACTAAAGCACTCAAGTCTATCTATCGGAAATTCTAAAGACATGCTGCTTTTAAATATTTTGTCATATTGCTCTTGAATTGAGTTTTATGTGGTTTAAGTGCGAAGAACACGATATTTAATAAATAAGGGTAATACCCAAAACGTTAATAAAAACGCCCGTGTAGGAGTAATGTAAAATCTGAAAGATTTCAGAAAATTAAAAAAAAAAAAAAAAAATTACAAACGTTTACTGGATCTTCGTTTTAGAAAAGTGGATTTTTAATTTTTGTACGTATCAAAAATTTTTCTTTAATTTGAACTGAAATGAGAACACCTTCAATTTCATTTTGCAAATCTCTACACCAGCGGTTCTGAACCTTTTGTCTAATACGTACCATTTAAACAAAAATTGAAAAACTTTAATACCACCACTACATGTTATAATGATCATTTTTCAATTGCTCAATGGAGGTATTAATATAGATACATATTGGCATTTGCCCAACCTATTCGCTATTTGAATTAAATACGCGCACATTAAAAAATATTAGACTAAAAATTGGTTGCCATTTTAATTAACAAAATTTAAGTTATAATACTTCAATTTTAAAACTTAGTGTGAAATTTAGGCTTGTTTAAGAGATATTAGCTTCTTTATGTCGGATCTTAATTTCACTTAGCTTTAACCGCAAATTAGGATGCACTTTTAATGTTGTTCTGTATTTATTTTTCAAATATAACATGAAAGAAAATCTTTATTCACATAAATAGATTGGGCAAAAAGGCAATAAAAATTTGATAGCTTTATTTGAAATGCCTTTATTTTTTTTTCTTTCCCCCCCCCGGTTCAGCAAAAAGCTAATAAGTTATTGAAATCTTCAGTTAGAGTTGGATCACAGGAAACTTCAATCAATTGTTCTTGTTCTTCAGGAGATTTTTTAATTTAATTGTTAAAATACTTTGTTTCTTTGCGCAGCACCTATTTTTCTTTTGCTTACCACCAGTGGTACGTTACCACCGGTTGAGAATCGCTGATCCAGTCTTTTCTTGCTCGAATTCTGAAAATTTTAATACTCATTCAATGAATTTTAACTAATTTAGTATATTTTAATTCCTTCAATGAATGGAATTTTTGTTAATTTTAGTAGTAATAATACTACTTCAATATGAAATTCGTCGGTTCATATCACGTCACCCCAAGTGATCTCATCTCACGTAAACTACGCAATAAAAATGTAATTCTCTCAAATATCTACATTAATATTTTAATTTAAGTATTTTTTTATTATTTATTTGTTTTGTGGTACTTTTCCGTTTCGCCGGCGCAAATCTCGCCAAGCAAACTTTATTGGTGACAACATATAGTATACACATAAAAAAAAATGTTAACAAATGTTAGTTCTAAGATTTTTTATTTTGACGGCATACACATTTTAATATCGTTTAAAATTTTGTAAAATGCCAATACATAAAAACGATATATTTGTAAAAAGACGTTAATTTAAGAATTTATTATGCTTTCGTGGTTCAACAAGCTGATTCGCCGGTTCGTATCACGTGACCTCAAGCGATCTCATCTCACGTAAACTACGCTACAAAAATCTAATTCTCTCAGTAATTATCTACATTAATTTCAAGTTAAACCTTAATTTGGAATACAAGTTTAAATGCAAGAATTATTTCAATTCGTACGAATAGCTTACCCAGAAATTATGTAAAACCGCCAGTGCTTTACTTCTCTAGTGCATTCTCATTAGAACTGATGAATTTAATCCTTGACTTTGCCTTTTCTATATTTTCGCCTTCGGGTGAGCGGTGTGATTGCATTCTAATTAACTTAATTACCGCGAATGGCCTTAGGGCATAAAAATTGTACTATCTTTGTAAAAATTATATGTAATTGTATGTAAGTATTGAAAGAACCAATCAATCTGATAAGAAATGGCTGCGACTTGTTTTGAAAATGAGGCGTAAGGTTACCAGCGAAGATATTCCGTTTGGCATCCGTTGTACCATTATTGGCGACTTTATCGCTTGCGCCGGCAAAACCGAAAAGTACCATTTTTGTTTTTAGCCCAAAAGGTTGTTAGCCCGAATAGGCTACTAGTCTCGAAACGGGTTTTGCGTCGTCCACTATAAAGTGCAAATCACTTTTCAAACTGTTACTACCAAATACTCTCGCCCTGTGTTACCTATAGAGAAATTAAATAATGAAGAATCAGCGCGTATGTATGTATGTTCCTCTTTTTATGAAAAAAAAAACATGTACACCTGGAAGCACGAATTTTAAATTTCGAATTTCATATTTTGTAAAACTTTAATGAACTTTTACTTAACAAACTCAACGATCCAGGACGCAAGACTGTCTGTCGGAAGTTCCTAAGTTATGCTGTTATTAAATATTCTATGATTTTGCCGTTGAATTGAAATTTATGTCACGTAAGTACAAAGAACGTGATATCTAATAAATAAAGTCAACACACAAAACGTTAATAATAAAAAGACAAAAAAAAAATATTGTAAGCTATCTCACTAAGAAAATGAAGATTGATATGATGAAATGATTGATATGATATGATGAAATTTTTGCCAACACTTAATACTGCACCGGAAATTCTAAACATATGCTGCTTTCAAAATTTTGTAATTTTCTGTTGAATCGCATATGACGTAAGAGCGAAGAAATTAGTGTTTCATAATAAAGCTAGCAGGACTGGTAAATTGCGAGCGCAGCGAGAATGTAAAAAACCTTAACAGATCCCTTTGGACGGTCGTTAAAATCTGAACTCTTTCAGATTTAAATTTTTTTATTATTTGAATTTCTCCCTTACTTTGACAAGATACTGAAGAAAATCTTACAAAAGATTGCTAAGCACTTTTTTATTGTTTTGATTTGCACATTGATTAAAGTTCCTTCTCTATGCGGTTATTTTACTTATTTTGCGGTTGTTTGTCATATCTTAACTCAAATGTGTCACATGTGTATTTTTTGGTTAGTCGTCCTTCATGTAAAAATATAACTTATTTTTTGGTAATATTTACATGAATTAAAGCTTTTTAAAAGGATTATAAACCAAAAATTTCATATTCGTAATATATACTCATGACAAATTTATATTGTTCAGGATTTTGTCTCGAACTATAAGCTGACTTTGTGCCTTAACATTCACTATTTTTTTTAAATTAAAAATTGATTTTTGCTCAAGATTCGATTGGTCCAATACTGCTTAGAGATCGTTCCATCGTTCCTTAAGTAACAGGTTATTTCCTTAAAATATTTTTTTTGTTTGATATAAAATATGTTCTGGCTTATGATCTGCATTCAATCCTTTTCTAAACCCCCAAAAGTGTGTTCTTTTGTGTACTTATCGAAAGACTATTTCTATATTAAACACTTATATTGTGTTGGTGTTGTGGATTTCTCAGTATATGGAAGCATTGACGAGTTTTATATTATCTTATTATAAAATCGTTATTTATGATTACTTTTCACTACTTTTAACTACATTAACATGCTTTAAACTTTATTGTGTTTGTATTTTTGTGTAGCTTAATGACAACTACTTATTAATTTTCAATTTTTATCCTTTTAAATTTCCAAAATTGAAAAACTAAGAGCATAATTTTCATCCACTTCTTAAATTTCTTTGAAAGTATAAATAATGTAAATTGTGAATATGTAATAATATTAATGATATTATCACTTTCTAGTTCTTTTGAATTAAAATTCACATTTTATCGAAAATGCCCTTTTAATATAAAGTGGGTTGTATTGTTAAGATTTAATAAGAAAATTTTTGTTTTCATTTTAAATCGATAGTATACTTGATAAACGGTGGAAATTATGCATCCATTGCAAATCAACACTCATTTAGATTTAGAATTATTAGCCTATCTGGGCGTAAGCCCAGAAAGGCTATTAGTATCGAACCGGCATTTTGCGTGGAATCACTATTCAAATTGTAGCCACCAAATATTATCCCCCTGTATTATATTTAAAGA